TGACATTTGTCCTGTTAATGTTAAGCTGCTGGTAGTCCAGCTGCCACCTCAGGCGTGTGTGTGTGTGTTGATGATGATAGGCTGGTGACCTGTTGAAAATTTGTCCACCCAACTGTGACCCAAGTTAAAAATGATGATTCTGACAACTGCTTTGATTTCCTGCCATCACATGAAGATGATACGAATCAAACGTCGTCACTAGAGCTCAGTCTAAGTAAACACCTATGTTGAGCTCCGACACAGGTTTGAAGCAGCTCTTCCTCTTACACCCATGGCTTCAAGACATGTTCAAATAAGGACATAAAGCCATTCAGAGGGTTTGACCATCATCAGCCTGGCCTCTATAAAAATGTCTTCTCCTTGTAACTGAATCCGCTGCAGCATCTCGTCCAGAGAAGGAAACAGAGCTTCCAGCATCAGGCAGTCGTTCTCCATCACAGCAGGTAACAAAGCTTTTATTGGGTGAAGATTACAGTTTAGATTATTAAGTCAGGTAGAGGAATCATATCTCACAGATGGTGAAAATAATGATGAGTTGGAAATTTAATGATCTGTCTTTAAATACAATAAAAGTAAAATCAGACAGTTTTGTTAAGCTTACATCTGGACTAAAAGAAAACTTCAGTGAAAATCTCCATTTAAAAAATGTTATTGTAAGACTTAATCCATCTCTGTGAGTCTTATTTAGTCCTGATGTCCTGCAAAACATTTCTTTCTTTTTTTAAATACTTTATAAATGTTTTTAAATAAACTCTGCCTGACGGCGATAACTACAGCACAATGACACAAAGAACTTCCCTTAAAGAACTGCTGCCAACGTAGGCACGAGTCTTTGCTTTGGTGTTTGGTCAATAACTGTCAAGAAAATCATGATCAATTTTTATTAATTGAGATTACATGGAAATTTTTACATTTCAACTTTAACCTTTAACGTGCTAACTAAGCCGTGTACAGTGACTTTGAAGACCCTTGCTCCTCTCTAACATTGACCTTATTCAGGTTTAAGTTGGTACTTAGGGTTTAGGGTTATTTACTGTTTATTCGGTAAATAAATTGGTGGAGCAGAGCTGATAATCTGAGAGAATTAGAGATAGTTTTGTTGAACAGATTACATTTGATGCTGTAATATATTCAGTCTTCTTATTGGTATTTTTGTCGCTGTTTGTTAAACCCACTCAGATGGCTGGTCCTTACTGGGTTTCTGTAGCGGTGGTTCTTTTGATGACTGTTAGAAACGGTGCGACTGTTACAAACGATGAGACTGTGATTGACCAACACCAGCTCGCACCAATTGTAGAAGAAATTCTAAAGAGGTGAGTGAAGTTTCTGTGAAATTCAGAAGAAAAACTGATGATGATGTTTACAGCAGCTGTTTTTAACAAACAAACTGTGAGCATACAGAGTAACATGTGACAAATATGATATTAAAACTGCATCACACTGGACTCTAACACAGATCAGCCCCTCTGTCGTTTCACAAACTCTCAGGGAAACAAACCAACATTGTTGTGGTTTCATGTAAATCTTTCCAAATGAAATCAACATCAGAACCTGTGTGTGTGTCTTTTGGCAGGTACACACCAAACTACAATGGTGCAGACGACAACAGGTCAGTAACAAAGGTCACTTTAATCTGCAGCACAGAACTTACAGTGTGCTTTATAGTAACAGAAGCAAGCTGAGCTCATCAGAACTACACGTAGAAGCTGAGACTGACAGAACAAATGCATCATTACAAACTCACTGTTATTGACAATAATAGTTTCTGTTATGTTCTTTAGCTCTGACACGCTGGGTGTTAGTGACACGAACACAAAAATGAAACTGTCTTTAACCACAACCTGTCAATGTATCATGCAGACTTTATAGATCAATAAAAAAAGCGTTGATTATTGAAGCAGGAGCATAAACACACAAACACAGCCAAAAACAGGTGAGGTGCAGGTGGTATCTGACAAAGCTGCATTATTTGAGACGGCGTTACTGTGTTGATGCTACATTTTCAAAATGACCAAAAGATTTTAATTAATTTTCTAAAAGAGTGATTTCCTGAGTAAAACGACACTGAACTCACTTTGGCTGGTTTAACACTCTGCATACTTTAATCTGCACATAACGAAAATGTTTTACATGTGAATATTCTCTGTTTGCTTTGACAGTTTCCCCCGCATGTTCAGTGTGGCCGTGAGCGTCCCGTACAATGAAGACAAGTACATGTATGATATGAATAAAGTCCCTGATTCTGGTGAAAAAGTGAAGAAGGATATTCTAAACTGTGACGTATACAAAGGTGACAGAGTGGTGGCAGCCACAGTGCTGAAATGGCCCAGTGTTCTAAAACAGTGTCCTAATGGACGCGTTAAGTGGACTGATGTCCGGAAGCAATGTGATCAACAGCAGATTAACTCGTGGGCTGACGTTGAGAGGTTGTGTGGTAAAAGTGAAATCCAGGATGGCAGAGCTGATCATGCAGAGTGCAGAACCCTGGAGCAGGTCAACACTTTGGTCACAAAGAGCCAAAAATCCAAAAATGATCTGATGGTTTTTTACGTCCGTGCTTCCTCGTGTGATAAAATATGTACCAATTCATCACATGATCGTAATATTCTCAGTAGCATAAAAAAGATAAAGAACTGGAAGAATTATGTTGTTGTGTTTTCAGATGTATTTAAACAATGTGGTGATAAAACCACAACCATGGATGGCCTGCGTGACTCACTTAAGAGGCTTGGGGATGCAATCAGAGATCAAAGGTCAAAGGTCAAATATAAAAGGTCGAATGGTCTTCAGCATATATTCCGATGTTCTCCATACTCCAAGCAGAGAAACGTGGAGTGCATCAGCTGCTATAACAAGAGCGATGATGACATTCCATGGACTTGTTTGTCAGATGGTTTCCAATCAGGCAGCAAGGAGGCCAGAGGCAGGCAAAGTGGCAGAAAACTCAGCAATAAAAACGTTAAAAAGCAGTGCTGGGTGGAGCAGAAACAAAGTCAGGAAAGTGGGGAAACAATGCGTCAGAGCAAGAAGAAGCAGAAGGGTAAAAGGCAGAGAGGAGGAGTGATGAGAGAAAATCATCAGAATTAACCAGAGAGGGGAAAAGAAAAACAGAAAATGTAATCCGTGCTTTGCATCGTTTTCCTGCATCAATGATAAACTTTTAAA